TGGCTGTTACCGGTGATTTGATGGCACTTGCTGTGCGCCGCGTCCCAGGTCGCACACGTGCAGACAGCCAGCTTGTCCGCGAACGGAGCACATGGTTCCCTCCGAGCAAACGCCGGATGGTCGCGATAGGGCAGCAAGACCTTCTGGCACCCTTTCTTCCCGCAGCGGTAACACGGACCTGTGTCTGGGACGTTTTCAACGGGCCCAAGTGTCCTTCCGCGCACCAGGGGCGAAACTCGCCATGCCAATCCCGAAGATGACCGGTCGCTGTGGGCTTCTTCGAGTCCCATCGCAGAGGCGGCATACACAGTCCTCAGAGAGCATTGAATACGAATCCTTTCTGGCCGTGGCGTCACCGTTTTTGGACCGCGTCGCACGCGGGGCACGCGCGGTGTTTTCATATTTCCGGCTGGCTTTTTCGCAACCTTCCTGGCCGCGCGCGCCTTCCCGCGTTTGGGCATGCAAGACTGAAAGGCAGAGGGCTTCTTCGCGCGCGGCCGAGAGGAGCCAGCAATCAAATGCAAGACGTCTGTCTCGACACTGCCGTCGCCAGCCCCGTCTTCGGTGACTTGCAGCAGGCGAGCGCGGCGTCGGCCCTCGCCCCAGCGGCTAACCAAGTCGAACGAGGCCTCGTCGTAAACAAGCATCTGCTGCGAATCCCCGCAGGTGCGGAGACCAACCGCATGTCCGCGAGTTCCAGGCATTCCAATTTGCGACAGGAAACAGCGCGCGGAGTCGGCGCAGATCAGGTCGCTCAGCTGTAGTTCTTGAAACGCCAGAGGACGGCTCATCTTCTGCAATTGCCGATAAGAGCATGGGCCACAGGCGAACTCCTGACTGGCTCGGTCCCCCGGAAATCATATCCACATTGGCGAGAGCGCTCATTGCGCGCGCACTTTCCCCGGGGGTAGCTTGGAGCTTCTGCTGGGGCATTTCGCGAGCGGCCGCCAGGGGCGCGGGGAAGTCGCTATAGTAGGGCGGCGACGGATGGGGCCCCACCTGCACCTCGGGCCTCCTCTCCTTGCTCGGGGGCAGAACTCCTCCAGGATATCTCCGCGCCGCTGAGATCTTCCAACTGCAAAGGTGCACCGTGTTCGTTTTCGACTGCAGACGCAAGCCCGACGAAGCCCTCGTCGTGCACGTCGAGCCCCATTGGCTTGGAGTAAATGCCATCGAAGACGAGGGGAATGGGCGCGGCCCCCGCATCTTCTAGTGCTTGCTTCATACTCATCAAAAACCGACGCTCCAGCTCGCCCGGGAAGATGCGAAGCGAGTTGCTTCCAGGCCGCGCCCTCGCGACATCCTGATGCAGCGCGTCGTGGTCGAGAAGAAATCGAGCGGCATTGGCTACTTCCGTTTGCAAACCGTCCACATGCGGGAGCCAGCGAGGCCGCCCCTCTGGATTTGGCAGCTGCCGCCCGTAGTGGCTGGTCGCCGAGAAGAGCAGCTTCTTGGCGACGTCCACCCCGACATCGAAATACCCAGAGACGAAATTCTTCCACCCGCGCCATTTTCTGACGACGTCGCACAGAAGTGGGAACTCTGACTCGACGCAGATCCTTTCCTGCCGCTTCAAAGCCACAACCAGCAAACTGAAGAATGCAACCTTGATGTCGAGTTCCAGAGCGCCTCCTGGAATTCCAGTCAAAGCAGCGCGCCGGGCCTCCTTGCCAATCTTCTCCAGAGATGGGCCCCCTGCGAAAGTCCCCCATAACCCCGCTTTAGGCATCTGCGAAGAAGGCTTCGCAGGGGGCGCTGCTGGCCGTCTCCAGCGGCTTCCACTGACGTGGTCCCTCGATTTTCCTATATACGACCATAGTTTTGAATGTGAGTCCGTCGTCTGCCGGCCCCCGAGTCGACTCGGGCGGCCGCGGCGAGGGCGTCCACGACGCCCGCCGCCGAGCAGACAGCGGAGCAGCAGACGGGGCGAAGTTCGCGCTCGCAGTCAGTCGCCCCTGGGCCGACCTCCCATGGCCCATCTCTCGGTTGGGGGCGCCGCCGGCGATGGGATCTTGAAAGCTCGGGGCAGCTTCACCATCGCGTCAGCCATCATTGAGAATCGTAGCGCGTGGCGCTGCTGTTTGCCGAAGAAGTGAACGCCGGTGTCTCGTTGGGCCAAGTGGTCGCCCAAAGGCCCGCGGCCTTCTGCGAGCGACGCCAATTTCGTAAGCGCGGAAGTTCTTGGAACGTCGATTTTATTGCATATTACATTCGCATTTTTCGGATCCCTCGCTTGTCTTTTTTTGCGTTCTGTTCGCTTGCGCTCCTCCCCGTGCTTCTTCTTGGCTTCTCCCTCCCGCGACTTTCTCGAGCATTCTGCTAGTGTGTCCCAGTCGGAGTCGCTGCCGCCAGACCGCCCGCTCGCGGCGCCAGAGGACAAATCCACGGCGCACTTGGGCCGGGGCTCGCATTGCTGATTGGTCAGGCGGCGGATGTGCCAGCGCGTCGACATCTACATCATCATCAACATCGCCAGCATCATCATGATAATATTCATTCGTCGTCATCGTCATCATCGCCACCATCATCATCACCACCGTACGAATCATCATAACTATCATCATCGTCGTCTTCGTCGTCGTCATCATCATAAGCTTTAGCATCTCCCTCACCCACAACATACTTAACATGGTAGTAGAACAACAGCATCGCAATGATCATGACGATGGCCATCACCACATCATCGTCATCATCATCATCACCATCACCATCAGCATCATCATCACTGTCGCCATCAAACGCACCTCCTCCGCATCCTGTTTCTCCTCCTCCTCCCCCCCTTCTCTTCCTCGCCCCTCCCCCTCTTCCTACTCGCGACCAGGGCGAGGGAAGCGGGAGCGTCGGGGGGGCGGGGGAGCGGGGAGCGGGAGCGGGGGAGCGGGGCGGGGAAAGCGGGAGAGCGGGAGAGCGGGAGAGCGGGGCAGCGGGGGGCCGGGGGAGCGGGAAATCGGGAGAGCGGCAGAGCGGCTGAGCGGCAGAGCGGCAGAGCGGCAGAGAGAAAGGGAGTGGATCAGAGCGCTGACTGCAATAGCCGGAGTCCGCCCCCCGGGCCCCTCCGGCCATCCCGCTCCCCGCTCCCCCGCTCTCCCGCTCTCCCGCTCTCCCCGCTCCCCCGCTCCCCCGCTCTCCCTCTCCCGCTCTCCCGCGCTCCCCGCGCCCCCGCCCCTGCTCTCCCGCTTCCGCTCCCCGCTCTCCCGCTCTCCCGCCCCCCCGCCCCCGCCCCCCTGCTCTCCCGCTCTGCCGCTCTCCCGCCCCCCCCCCCGCTCTCCCGGCCCCCCGCTCTGCCGCTGTGCCGGTCTTCCGCTCTCCCGTTCTCCCGCTCTCCCGCTCCCCCGCCCCCCCGCTCTCCCGCTATGCCGCTCTCCCGGTCTGCCGCCCCCCGCTCGCTCGCTTTCCGGTTCCCGTTCCCGTCTCCCGCTCGCGGGGCTCTCCCGCTCTCCCGCTCTCCCCGCTCTCCCGCTCTCCGCTCCTCGCTTTCCGCCCTCCCGCCCCCCCGCTCTCCCGCTGCCCGCTTTCAGCCGCTCTCCCGCTCTCCGCTCTCCCGCTCTCCCGCTCTCTGCTCTCCCGTTCCCGCTCTCCCGCCCCCCCCGCTCTCCCGCGCTCCGCTCTGCCGCTTCCCGCTCTCCCGCTCTCCCGCTCTCCCGCTCTCCCGCTCCCTCGCTCTCCCGCACTCCCGCTCTGCCGCCCGCCCGCTCTCCCGCTGTCCCGCCGCCCCGCTCCCCCGCTTCCCCGTTCTCCCGCTCTCCCGCTCTCTCGCTGTCCCGCTCTCCCGCTCTCCGCTCTCCTGTTTTCCCTCTCTCCCGCTCTCCCGCTCTCCCGCTCTCCGCTCTCCCGTTCTCCCGCTGTCCCGCTCCCCCGCTCTCCCGCTCTCCCTCTCCCACGCTCGCCCGCTCTCCCGCTCTCCTGCTGCCCCGCTCTCCCGCTCTCCCGCTCTCCCGCTTTCCCGCTCTCCCGCTTTCCCGCTTTCCCGCTCTCCCGCTCTCCCGCTCTCCCGCTCCCCCGCTCTCTCGCTCTCCCGCTTTCCCGCTCTCCCGCTTTCCCGCTGCCCCGCTCTCCCGTTCTCCCGCTGCCCCGCTCTCCCGCTCCCCCGCTCTCCCGCTCTCCCGCTCTCCCGCTTTCCCGCTATCCCGCTATTCCGCTCTCCCGCTCCCCCGCTTTCCCGTCCTCTTGCTTTCCCGCTCCCCCGAGCGCTTCGGAATGGAAGTCAATGGCTGCAAAGAAGCTGAGGTATATCTTACAAGGGGGTGCGTCCATTTTTCATCTATACATATATATATATATGTATGTATAGAGGGAGAGGGATACACGTGTATATGTATATGTATGTATATGCATGCATATGGATTTATATGTGTGTATGTATATGTATGTATATTCATGCAGGTGTGTATATATATATATATATATGGTTGTGTGTTTGTATGTATGTATGCATGCATGCATGTATGTATGTATGTATGTTTGCATGTACGCATGTGTGTAAATGTGTATGCATATACGTATGTATGTATACATGCATGCATGCATACACGTATGCCTGTGTACATGTATGTGTGTAGGCATAGTTACATGTATGTGTAAATGTATACACATATATATATGTAGATCTTCACATGTATACACACATATACACATGTATGTGTATATATGCATGAATGTATGTATGCATGTTTGTATGTATGTACATGTACATATATATACATACATACATACATATATATAGATATATGTGTGTAGGTGTGCGCATCGCTTGCTGCTTGCCCCACCATGTTTGCGAAGTACGGTTGGTTATGCGTTTGCACGTTTCGTCCATGTGGGGCTAGATTTCGGGATTCCGGCGTTCAGTCACCTCCTTTGGTTATATTGGTGGTTTGGCGTGGACATCTCGGGGTTGGGAACGGTTCCGTACGAATCCGTAGCCATTTGGGTTGCAGCATGGGCGTTCGTAGAGTTATTTTGTGACGCGTCGGGCCCGCGTAGCCTGATCTGTCCTGGCGGCCATGGTTGCCCAGAAAGCCCCAGCGTCCTTAACGGATCAGGCAGCTGGGCTGTCGCTGTCTTTGGGTCTTCATTTCATGTGGAACACCAGTGCGCCATCGTTTGTCCCTAAGGCCAGCCAATTTTACGTCTTCAACGCCCCGCTTCGGCATCCTGGCCTCGCCTCGACTGGTGCAGCAGAACGACTCCTCAGGACAGTGGCATTGCCGCCGCGCGCCTGGCACACGCCATGGGCGCGACAGGCGCAGCAGGAGTTGGAGTGGTGCCTGCAGGTCCTGCAGGCGGCTGCCAGGCTCGCCGCGGCCAGCAGCTTGACGATCTGGAACGGTGCCAGAACATCATTCCTTGGACTCCTCCGCAAATGAAAGTAACTTTTGCGCCATCACAAACCTGAGTCCTTCCAACACGTAACTTCTGGCTCGTTGACCATGGGAACCCGTGTAAGCCTTGCAAATGCTTCAGACGAGTGTATAGAAAGCAAGCGACACCGAGCTCGCCTGCAGGGTTCTCCGTTTCTTTACTGTACCCGGCAGCGCGGGAGCTAAACGCCCATAGGCGCGCCGCCAGGTCTTTGGGCGGCCCGCGGGATAAGATGTCGCTCTGGATCCCCCCAGCAGTCTTCGAAGGTGGCGACAGGTCCCCAGGCCCCGAGGCCCCCGCTTTTCCAAACCATCCAGACACGGTGCCGAGGGGAGTTGAGGTGATCAGGGAAGCCGTCCGATATCCCAAAAGGGGGAAGATAGTGGAGGAGAAGGAGGAGTGGAGGAGAAGGGGGGAGAAGGAGGAGGATGAGGAGGAGGAGGAGGAAGACGACAAGGAGGAGGAGGGCGATGTGGAGGACGGATGAAGACACATTGGACAAGGACGTAGAGTGGAAGGATAATGAGGAGGAGGAGGAAGAGAAGGATCATCTTGGCGAGCCCAGGGCTTCTTTGAGCGTCTTAGGTACCTCGGAGGTCCTCTTGAGGCCTCTTGGGGGGCTCTTGGGAACCTCTTGGAGGCCTCTCAAGCGCCTCTTGGAGCCGTCAGGGTGCCTCTTGGGGCCCTCTTGGGGCGCTCTCGGGAGCTTTAGGGGCACTCTTGGGACCACCTGGGAGGGCATCGATCGAACAAGAGGGGTTTCTCGATTCCTGCTTCGCCTTGGGAACCCCAGAATTCGCATCTTGGGACGCTCTTGGAGCGCTCTTGGGCGTTCTTGGGCCGTCTTGGGGCTCCCTTGGGCCTCTCCTGGGACCCAATCGGGCCATATTTCACTGGTCTTAAACATACCTTTACCTTGGGTCGGCCTGGGTGAAAAGGGCCATCTGCTGGATTGGGCGCTTGCCACTGCGCCCGATCAGCCTGCCGCGCGCGCGCTGTTTCAGCATCCGCGCGTAAGGACGCAACGACGCGCTGAACGGCGGGCTGTTGGATTGCAGCGGCATGTCCTGATTTGCGTCAGGGACGTCTGGGGGCATCGGGGCGGTCCGCCGGGCTTTAGAACAAACAGCATTGGAGTGGTGGTGCCTGTCCCATTGGGGACAGGCACGACCGCTCCGTTGCGTTTGGGCCTGCCCGCACGTGCGTCGTTGCAATGTCGCGCTCCACCCGGGGGCCGTTGCGGCCGCGTTCGGGGACGCTCTCGGGGGCCGCGCGTGCGCCCGAGAGCGATTTCGACAAAACGCCACTTCGACGACGTACCATCAACGCGCGTCGGCGACTGTGCCCCCCGACACGTACCCGGACCTAGCTGGCGTGGCGCCAGGCGGGTTTTCCAAGGAGCAGCCCTTGGCGGCCGCGCCTGGTGTTCGGGGCCCCAGGCGTCTGGGGCAAGCGCAGGATTGCAGCGGCGCCCGCCCATGACACCCTGGACGCATGTGGCGCGTGGGCGCACCTCCGAACGATCTACTCTAGCCCGAGGGCGACCAATGCGTGGACGGCCATTCTGCCGAATGGAACGCGCGCGCCTTCGGTGCCAGCGGATGCCCTGGGAAAACAGCACCCTGTAATGTTCCATGGGCCGTCGCATCTGCACTTGTGCAACCGCCGTCGGCTGCGGCGTGTCGCTCCCCCCGCCCATTGCCGCCCCGCCTGGGTAAGGGTCCGGGTATCTTGCGCGCTCGAGAATTTTGGAGCCACCTTGGGGCCCTGGACGGCCATCGGAAGCGAAGAGGCGAGAACGCAATACACATTGATTTCCACTAGATGTGGGAAGGATCTTGGCCTTTTCGGGGCCTCCTTGGAGAGCTCTCTAGCCATCTGGAGCCGTCTTGGAGCGGTCTTGGGGCCTTTTGGAGCATCTTGGGAACCATCTCGAAGCATCCTGGGATATCGCAAGCCATCTTGGAACTCATTTTGGGCTGTCCGATGCGCTATTGAGGCCATCTTGGGCCGTCTTGGACGCTCCAGCCCCTCGCGGGACCACCCGTCCAGGTCCAGGGGAGGGGGCGTGGGGGAGGGGTCCAGCTACCAACCCGCCCACAAGCCGTCGAGTTCACTCCCACCCACCCTCCCAACACATAAGTAAGACCCGAGCCTCAGCATGTTCAGCGGTCGTTTTTGGATGGACAGATGTTGGGAACCACAACCAGCCCCAGGTGCGCGACGTTTGGGCGAGGTGCGCCACGGGTGCCAGGGGCGCCACGCGCGCCAGGCACCCCGGAGGCCCGAGCGTGCCAGGCACGCTTGGTGCGCCAGATGCGCCACGTGCTCCGAGTGCGCCAGGTGTGCCGCACACTCCAGTCGCGCCAAGTGCGCCACTTTCGGGGCACGTGCAGAGTTCGCCAGGTGCGCCTGCGCACGTGACAGCACACATCGGGAAACATTTCGGCCCCCGCCATCCTTGTCGAAAGCCAATGCCCAGCACTGTGTCTGGAGGGCATGCGCACAGCAGGCCACGCGCCACAACCCCCGCCATCATTGTCAAAACGACTTAACGGTGATCGCGGGATGGCCGCGCATGATTCATATTTTGCCGCGAGGTGCATGTTGTTGTTGTTGTTATCAGGGATGGTAGCCCTGCGCACGGCAGGGAATATGCTGATACCCCCGCCGTCCCTGTCAAACATAATACAAGGTGTTCGCGGGCTTCACGAACATGATTGGCAACGATGGTGGGGGGCCATCCAAATGTGGAGGCAAAGTGAAGCTTGTTTTGATTTTTACATGGATGGTGCGGGGCGCATGGACTCGGCATGGTTCCGGGCTGGCCACCGGCCGGGTGTTCTTAAAAACGTTGGGGGCGTGCTTTTCCCGTTTTCAAATGTTCGTGTTGCCGTCGACCAAAACAGAAACAAACAAAACAAAAACGGCAACCCAAAACACAAAGAACACGACACCCGCCGGCCCCGAAGCAAAAACAAAACAACGGAAAACGAACACAGTTTGAAAACGGAAAACCAAGACCGAAAAAACGGCCACGTTTGCAGGACAGCCGTCTTGCAGGCTGGCATTCGCATGGCTGTGGGCTTGCTTGTTGCATGTGGTCAATCGGGGACCATTGCTCGTGATTGGATAAAAGCAAACTCTGCTCCCACGCCGCTACGAAAACGGAAACAAAACGGCAGCTAAACACAATAAAAAACGGATCGCAAAACGCACCACAACGGCGAGACGGCAATCCCAAAATGGAAAGGAAAACAAAAAAACACGGAACCCACAACAACAAACACGTCGATCTTGAAAACGGGGAAAAAACGCCCCCAGCGTTTTTAAGAACATCTAAAGTGGGGGACAGGGTGTATGTTGATACGGAACAGTGATAAATCTTCCCCGACGGGGAAGAGGGGCAAAACGCCCTAAACCACCTACGCCCGAAAGGACTGGCGGGACTCCCACCCCCACCCCCCGCACCTGATTTTAGTACGTGGCGCCTCCAGGGCGGCCCCAGAGAACGCAAAGGACCCGCTTAGACTGACCAGCGTGGCCAGAAGTCCAAGGATTCCACGCGCGGGTCCAAGAGGGGCCCGCGAAAGTGCCTTGCGAGGCAAAGTTTGCTCGCGAGGCACATGTTGCTCTTCGCCCTGGCCAGCGTCTTCGGGTATGCCCCCCATGGGCTCCCTCTCAGGGCATGCGGCCACTCGGGGTGTGGCTGGGGGATGATGGAGTCCGTCATGTGGGCCGTGGGTAGGGTGTCGTCGGGGGTAGGCGTAGAGGTGGCACGCCGGGCGGAAGGGCGGCAGGCGGAAAGCTCCGATCATCGCGGCAGCCAGCGTTGGCGTCGGTGGCCCAGTAGCTGCGTAGCACGGCTGGGACGAAGATGCCCGCATCGTTGCTCATGATGGAGGTCGGCCTGTCCGCTTGGGCGAGAACTGCGCGGCTACGGTGCTGCATGTGCTTGAGCACCGCCTCCATGGCGAGCTTGCGCCTTCGGCGTGATCCACGTCGGGCAGCTGTGGGACCCAACATGACGATTTCCTTGGATTGGATACCTGGGAGCCGCCACGCGTTCGGGCAAACATGAGGGAGCCGTACAGGAGGTGCCGTGGCTCTGGCGAATGTGAGGGAATCGTACAGGACGTTGACGAAACGAAGTGCAATAAGTAGCATGATGAGACAGATGTGAGAGGTCAGGGATGGAGACGACTCAGGTACTCGTGGCCTGTCGGCGCACTTCGGAGGGCACCAACTATACACCTACACCGATCCAGCCCAGGCCGATCCTGGGCCCAGGATCGGTGTATATGCATCCTGCCCATGGCAGGAGGGCGTATACACCGATCCTGGGCCCAGGTTGATCCTGGCCAGGATCGGTGTTGGTGTATAGTTGGTGCCTTCCTAGCACTGCCACTTACGCGCCTCAATGTCTTGGCAGTTGGTGGCTTGAGCCAAGTTTGCTACGGACCTCCTCCTCCTCCTCTTCCTCCTCCTCCTCCTCCTCCTCCTCCTCCCCCTTGCCTAGTGGAAGACGCAATGACGGAACCATAAACATTTGGAGGTCCGCGCGCATTCCTCGGATCTGCGCTAGGGGCCCTTGGCGGCGTCTACGACGTTGCCCCTGGCGCGAACCGCGCGCCAGGGAGGGGGGTCCAGCTCCGATCCGAGGATTCCGCGCGGACCTCCGAGTTGTTGTGCTCATGCCACCGTGTGTTGCGCCTTCCTGCCTCTCCTGCCCTGCCCGCGGGCCTCGCCCCGATCACTCTCCGCGCCTCCTCCTTGCATGCCTCGTGCCTCACTCCCTCCGTCCCCCCATGCCTCCTCCCTCATCTTACGATTCAGCGAGCGAGGAACGGTGTAAAATAAACTTTTTTGCCGTCGGGGACACCTGCCCCAGGGCGGCTGGAAAGTTCATACCCCTACGGTGCCACCGTAAGGGTATAAATGTTCCGGCCGCCCTGGGGCAGGTGTCCCCGACGGCGAAAAAGTTTATTTTATACCGTTCTTCGCTCGTTAAACGATGTTCCAGCCTAGTTGTGTTTAGCCTTGATCACCACAAAGAATTTCCGGCACCAGGAAAGTATCGAAGCTTGAGGGTTTCACGTGTCCGTCCCTGGGACGGCAATACTCGTTCCGTTCTTTGCCAGCGTGTCGGGCAGACACTGCTTCGATACTTCTCGGGGTGCTCGGCATAATTTCTGGGATAGGGTCCGTCAATACGATGGGAATAACATAACCCTCATTCCTCCAGCCATCTGTCCGCATCCTCTGCCCCCCCGCTGCCCGCCGCCGCGATTAGATCGGGCATGTCTTCCTACAGGCAGATCAATATTCAAGCATGGGCAAGAATCGTCGAGAGTCCCTCCCCAGACTATTCTTTGACTCTCCTTGGATATTCCTGCCGTGGAGGGACATGCCCGCCTTCATGCTCGCGGCCACTGGCCCCGCTCCTTGTGGGCCCCGGAAACGGCAGGGCCGTTGTTTCACCTTTTCCTAAAAAAGTGCCCCTTGAAAATGGAGACGGCAAAAAAACGGCAACCGGAAACGGGAAAAAACGGCTCCAGGATTGGAGCCGGAGCTAGAACCGGTAAAAAAACGGCGACGGCAACGGTGAAAAAACGGCGTCGGAACCGGCAAAAGAACGGCAGAAAGGATTCGGTAAAAAAACGGCCCTGTCGTTTCCACGGCCCTTGGGCCCCCGCCTCCTTCGGGTTGACCCAAAAGGGGGTCCAGCGCCAAGGGGGTGATGCAATAGATTTGGTGCAATATATTTGGGGTTGCAGTACATCGGGGGCATGCAATACATTCGGGGCCGCAGATGTATTGCTGGATGTTCGCTTTCAATGCACTCGCCGCAATACAGTGCAATACAATTCTCTGGCGCAATACATTTGCAGCACAATTGTCCCAAATCTATTGCACCACCCCCTTTCAGCTGGACCCCCTTTTGGGTCGACCAGACTCGGTTCGTCCCCTCCCTGTTCCCTCCCTGTTCCCCTCCTCTGGGGCTCCCTGGCCCCACGTCCAGCGTCGGAGGGCGACGGAGGAGGAGAGGAGGAGGGGGACGAGGAGGAGGAGGAGGAGGAGGAGGACGAGGAGGAGGAGGAGGAGGAGGAGGACGAGGAGGAGGAGGAGGACGACGAGGGGCCCCCGGGCCCCCGCCTCTTGCTCCCCGGGCCCGCGGGGTGGGCACCGCCCCCGAGCAGGCCCTCCGAGAGGAGCTGCGGGCCGAGCAAGCGGCCCGGGTGGGGGAGCTCGAGGCCTCGGTACGGCGGCTGCGGGCGGAGGCGGAGGCGGAGGCCTCGAGGAGCAGAGAGGCGCCGGGCTCGGCCGCCTGCGGGGGTCAGACAGCAGAGAAGGAACGGGTACCCATACCCATACCTGTACCCTTTGGCCGTTTTCCCTTTTTGGGGCCTCCTGGGAGGCCCTCGTCGCCACTGCTGGATTCGCGTCGAAGTTCTGCTCCGAACGCCCCCCGGGAGAGGTCCGGAGAGTACGGGTATCGGTTCTTTCTGGTTTCCCCAGAGGATCCAGGGATTGCCGAGGTCAGGCCCAGACCTCCTCGCGCTGTGAAACAATCGCGACGGGATGTTTTTCTTCATTTTCAGCCTCTGGGGGCCCTTACCGGGCCTCGGGGCCGTCAAAAGACGATTCAGAGCGACAAACCGGTCTTGGGGAAGGGGCCCAGACCTCTAGGGGTCGACGTTGCGAAAAAATCACGACATAATTAACCCTTGCGGTGATCCAGCCCCTCTGGAGGCCATCTGGGGACCTTGCACCTCTCGCTGCTAGGAAAACCACGATCGGTGGCGCGGGGGAGGGGGGCGGGGGGCAAGTCTCTGTTTCTGGGGGCCCTCGTCGGGCCCCGGGACCGTCCAGAGATTATTCAGTCGGGGCTCAAGAGACGGAGGCCAGTGCAAACGGGTGTCAGTCAGAGCGCCGGATATTGCAGGATTTTGCTGGGCCAGGTGCGCACTGACCCGGGTGTGGGTCGACCCGGGTCAGCAGATCCCCGAGCCTTGGCCCTGTCGAGGTCACCATGAATTTGCACGAACGAGATGGGCACGGAAAGAATGGGTACAATGCCCAACAGCATTTCTTGATAATTTTGAACAGGACTCGCTGTCCACGCCGCCGCGGCCTGTGTCTATTTGATACAGAGGGCCGCCTGCCCAACAGCGGCCGCTGTTGGTTTGGGGCAACATTTGTTGTTGGGCATTGTACCCATTCTTTCCGTACCCATTTCGGGCGTCCAAAATGAAGGCAAGGCCAGGTCACCACCAGGGACGCGAAGAGAATCGCGCTTCTCTCCCCTCGCCGCTCTGGTGGGAGAGGCGGCTTGATCCAGGGCGCCGGCGCGAGGGCGTGAAGACAACCGCGCATCACGGATCGCGATGTTCTACTTCGGCATGCCGAAAGATTTTCCTCTTGAGCCCCACATGTCGGAGGCGACGCGCCGATCCCCTCTGTTCTCCTCCCACCTCCTCTTGCCTCTTCCCTCATCCTTCCCCTCCTCATCTTGGGAAGACCCCCCTCCCCCGTAGAATCATAGCATGGGTCTGCAGATCCACAGCTCCGTGGACAGCATGATGCTTCACTTGCGGTGCTCCGCGGAGCCCATTCCCCTGGGTCCCGGATGTGAGTTATTATTATATATTTATTCCCAGGAAATATATGGATCCATCGTTTTTTACACACAGGAAATTGGATCCGCGCAACACAGAAATAGGATCCACGAAACTCACCCACACCCAAAAAGGGATCCAATCGGATCCATTGCGGTTCTCATATGCTTAGTGCAAGAGGAAAAACTTTCGGCCTGGGGATGTAGGCTTCCCAGATGGGGTCCGAGTAGGTGGGGTCCGAGGATCGCGCCGCATCGGCGATGCATCGCAGATGAGGCCTCTAGATGCGCGGTGCGCGAAGCGATCTTGAGGCAATTGTTTTTGTTGCCGCTTTCGGGCCCAAGGCTCCTCCCCACGGGCCCCAGGGCCGTCCACGACAGCACTCGGGATGAATCCATATATGTATGTATGTATGTATATATATATATATATATATATATTATATATATATATATATATATATATATATATATATGCCATGCCTCCAAGTTTGGGTCAGAGCAGATGGGCTCGAAGGATCGCGCCGCATCGCCAGTACATGGGCGATGCGGCTCCATGTGAAGCACGGTTTTCTCTGCGCCGGCGTCCCCGAGGCATCGCCGACGTCGCCGATGCATCGCCAATGTATCGGCGATGCGGCTCGACCCTCGGGCTCCATCTACCTGGACCCCGTTCGGGAAGACTCAAATGAGAGCTGGTCCACGCAGCAGCCCAGTGGGGTCCAGGACCCGTTTGCCTCAGGATCTGTTCGTCGTGACGGTCGAGATGGGTACGGAGAGAATGGGGCACGAAGACAGACATCGTTGGTTGGAAGATGGAGTCCTGAGGGATGGAGTCCTCAGAACGAGGTGCCTCAATTCATGTAAATCCGCCCTTGGACCCCTTTCTATCCTTAGGCCCCCAACCCTCAGAACCCCATTTTTGAACCACCGACGACAGCAGTTCCTGTCATTCTGGGCAGGATTCGCCGTCTGTGTCGCCGCTAACGTTGTCCGTTTGAGGCAGAGGGCCGCCTGGTCAACGGTGGCCGCTGTCGGTTTGGAACAACATACAGTGGAGGCGCGCATCAAGAAACCAAGTGCTGTTCTTCGATCCACACGCTTCGTGGTGTCTTCCCGCGGCCGTTGAGAAGCTGTTGCGTTCAGGGTACTCCGGAATTCCCCTCAAGTGCACCTCGCGTGCGGGTTTCAAGGTTGGGTTTTTCTTGTGATGGTCTCTTGTGGCCGCGCCCGCTCTGTATGTTGTTGGGTATCGTACCCCTTCGTTCCGTACAGCTGGACTTAAATCGGGCGTGTCCCCCTACAGGGGGATTTTCGATGACAAGTAAAAATATTCAAAAAATACTACAAAATGGTCAGACAATATTCAAAAAATAGTCCCCAGGCTATTTTTGGATTATTTTTTATTCTTTTTGGGATATGTTTTATTTCTCGTCGAAGATCCCCCTGCAGGGGGGACAGGCCCGACTTGAGAGAACATCCTTCAAGAGCATGAGGCGCTCCGCCTGCCAAGCCGAAGAAAACCTCCGAGAGCCCCCTGCCCGCCAGACCAACCCGAAGGCCCCGAGTTGCCCCCCATTTCCAATGGGGGGCTCGGGGAATCGGGCCGGACGAAAGGGGGGGATTGGGAAAGGGGGGGTTACGAAATCTGCTGCATGCAGCTGGTTTCGGTTTCGCCGCCGGGCCCATTCCTATACATGGGCGCCTCCCGGCGCCGGGAGGCGCCGGGAAAATCAGCTACTTGAGCTGATTCTCAAAACCCCCCCTTGCTATCCCCCCCTTTCGCCCGACCCGAGGGAACATTGCGAAACAACACACGAAACCCATATACCCCCCCAAAGCCCGAAATTCGGGTCGTCGGGTTGCTTCGGGGTGGTCCGGTAGGCAGTCGGCACCAGAACGTGCAACGAGCACGAAGGACATCAGGAGACCCTCCCCGAACCGACCTCGATCTTGTGCCTCGGCCCGGCCGCAGCCCCTTCCGGGCGTCCAAAGCTTCCTTCTGATGCCGGCCCAGGCGCTGGAGCAGGAGCGGTCCTCGCTCCAGGCGCAGGCGCGCGAGAAGGAGAAGGCAGCTGCAGAGGACCGGGCCGCCTCGCGAGGAGGAGGATCGGGGCAGAGACGGGGGTCAGTGCAAACGGGGGTCAGCCAGAGCGCCAGATCCTGCAGGATCCTGCGAAGGCCCCCTCTGGCTGACCCGGGTTAGCGAGCCGCGAGGAGGCCGCTCGTATTGGCTGACCCGGGTTTGCGAAGACCTGCGTTGCATTTTTTTTCCCTGCATTGCAATTTTTGGTTTCCTGCTGACCCGGGTCTAGATTGATCCGGGTCAGAAGATCCCCGAGAGGAGGAGGAGGGTTCAAGTCCAATCTTCGCCCAAGCTTGTCAGGCACAAGTGAACTGGCGGTATGGGCGAGGTGCCCCGGGGCTGAATCATGCGTGCGCAGACTTGAGCGCCAGTCGATGCTCGCCTTCTTCGGGGCGGTTTTCGCCAGTGAGCGCCGGGTGATTTGGCTGCAAGAGTATCTCGCGCATCCAGTTCCTCACAGTTGGGTGGATGTCATACTGGTTACATGTTGTTCTCTTTGTTCTCGGATGCAGTCACGCAAGTTCAAGTTCTTGGGTGCGCTCTTCGTGCTGCACGTGGAGGTCGTTCTTTCAATTTTACTGGTGGGAACAGGATATGCCGGCCATCCGTACACTGAGCCGTGCAATATTTTGAATATTGGTTTCAAGAATGGGCGTGGCGGCGGCGTTGCGGACTTTACAGTCGTGCAGAGCTTTTGTGTTTGTCTTGTATTGGGTGCGTTTTCAATCAAGCTACCTTCAGGTATTTGGCACTATGGGTTACTGCGCGCTTGCGTTGCAGTCGCAGTCACACGCTTCTGCAGTACAAAGTAGCAGTCCCATCGGCAAGTTTCTGATGTTTTTGTCCTGTTCGATTGTGCTCGCATCGTTTGTGCACTTGGGACCAGTACCTCGGCCTCCACGAGTCGCCCCGATATAGTATTGCAAGATGTTTGTGAGCTTTCGTTCGCGTCGTTTGCGCGGGATTCGCTTTCCTCGGTCTGTTCCGGCGCGGTCGTGCGCAAGTTCTTGGAACTCCTTCGGGAAAATGAAACGCCGCCTCACGGCTGGTCAGAGCCCCGAATCATCAGGGGTAACTCGGGTCAGGGCTAACTCGGGTTCGAATCCAAACCCGAGTTACCCCGGGCCCGAGTTACCCCGGATAACTCGGGCGCCCAAGCTGGCCTGCACAGCAGCCGTGGTCGCTCGCGCCGCCTCTATGCCCCAGCCCTCCACGGCGCAACCATGCAGCGTTGCGACCGGCTGCAGCAGAAGTGCCAACTCTGGCGCCGTGGCCCGTAGCTCCTCCAGCAGCGCGGCGTGCGTGGCCAGCCCGAGGTCCCAGCGCAACCCCACCCTAGCCACCATCGCCTGGGCCTCGGCGTTGGCCAGGGCGTAGTCGATCCGGGAGGGGGCCCCATGCGAAGGGATGCACGTGGGGCCAGCGGCGGCGAGGAGGTCCCTCCATCCCGCCATGCCCAGGAGGCCCTCCAGCCCAGAGTCGGGGAGGCTGAAGTTGAGGTCGCCCACCAGCAGCGCGGGCGCTCCGCCGAGGCCATTCCGCCACTCGAGCCCCTCCAGCAGCAGGTCGGCGTTGCGATCCGCGTCAGGCGGGCCGCCCGCGTAACCATAGCAATTCAAAACATGAATTGCACATCCTGCCCCAAAGTACACGGCGAGATGGTGGCACAGCCCAGGGTCGCTTTAAGTCGTTTGGGTTTTGCTGGTGACGAGTTTCCTTCGTGTCCTCAACATGTGGTGCCGTATGTGGCTGGTTTGGCGGATTGCCTGTGCGCAGCTTCCTGGTACCAGTGTCGTGGGAAAGATGTGTGGGCTTCTTCGCGCACTGGTGCATGAACGTGAATTTCCTGAGGCGCCGTGGGGAGGCGCGGTCTGCTTGACCTTGGCTTTCTGGATGCGTTGAAGGAGGAGGAGGAGGAGGAGGAGGAGGAGACGACGACGACGACGACGACTACGACGACGACTACACATAAGAGTGACCCTTCGCCGGACTAACCCTTGGTTCGGGCTCACCGGGCCGCTCCCGATCGCTGAGCTCGATGCGATAGTGGCTGCTTGCGCGTTTGGAGCTGGCCACCTTGCGCCCTCTTGATCCGCGCAATAAGGTCACTCTTGCTTATGGCCACTCATTGCGTGTAGCCCAGAGGAGATGGTCAGGGACAAGCTTCGTGGGGGGTAGCATCAGGTCTGGACGCCCGATATGGGTACGGAAAGAATGGGTACAATGCCCAACAACAATTCCTGTCCATTTTGACCAGGATCCGCTGTCCACGCCGCCGCGGCCTGTGGCCATTTGAGACAGAGGGCCGCCTGCCCAACAGCGGCCATTTTTTCGGTACTCATTTCGGGCGTCCAAATCAGGGGGGAGTGCATCGACCCTCGATGGCTCACTCATCGCCGATAGGGGCCGGGTAGCCCACCCTGCACAGGTGAATGTACGGATCCGCTGTCCGGCGCTTGTCGCCGATGCATCGGCGGTGCATCGCCGATTCCAGATCGGCGTTCCCCCACCCCACGTTGAGCAAGTCCCCCGCCCAACGCCGACCCACAGGACGGCGGCGGGCGAAGACGACAAAGAGGGTGGCACGGGTCGCGAGCGGGGAGGAGTAGGAACTGAGTAGGAGGAAGAGGCGGCGGCGGTGGAGAGGGAGGCGGGGGAGGGGGACGACGACGACGGCATGGGCGACACTGTCGGAAGCGAGGAGGAGGAGGAGGAGGAGGAGGAGGAGGAGGACAGGGTTCAGCGGGTGGACTCTTGGACGACAGTGGCGACGCCGACGGCGACCGCGAGGACGGCGGCGGCGTTGGTAAGGACGACAACGTCGGAAGCGAGGAGGAGGGAGGCAATCAGTGTCCCCAAACCCCCTACATCCGCACAGCACGGTGGGTGTAGGGAGCTGCCCTTCTAGGGGGAGCGCGGCATCGTTTAGATACTTCGGTAGGCTTAAGTGAACTATAAGCCTGTTGGATGCCTCTCGGATTCGCTTGGGATGTATCCCGAGGGGGTCTTCTGTTGCGTCGCAGGGCGTTTGGGGGGCCTTTGGGAGACGTTGGGGGGCATTTGGGGAGCCTCCTCCTGTGGCCTCTTGAGGCCTTCTGGGGGCCTCTTGGGAGCCTTGGAAGTCTTCTTGAGACCATCTTGGGAGACATCGATCAAAGAAGGGAGGTCCTTAACTTGCGCCCCCCCTCTGGAGCCCCTGAAATCGCCTCTCGAGACTCTCTTGGGACTATCTTGAAACGCTCTTGGGTGGGCGCCCTTGGGGCCGTCAGGAGCCCTCCCGGGCCCATCTTGGGGCCCTCGTTGAGCCATCGTGAGGCACCAGACGGCCATCAGAAGCGAACGAGCGAGAAAGCCAAACACAGTGTGTCTGTTGAAGGTTCGGATTATGTTTGGAACCCACAAGGCCACTTGGAACCGTCTTTGAGCGACATTGGGGCCTCTGAGGCTTTCGGAAGCCATCTGGAGCGGTTTCTGTTCTCTTCGCCCATGTTAAAGACCATTTTGGGCTATTCGGGACCTTCTTGGAGCCATCGTGGGCTTTTTTGTTAACGACCCGCGACAAACCCCTCCTCCGAACCCAGGCAGAGGTGGTAGGGGCAGGGGTCAAGCTACACCAAGCCGCAAGCCGCGTCGCTCACTCCCACCCGCCCTCCTAACACATGAGTCGCATCCGAGCTTGGGGCCCCGATCCAAGTGAGTTCATTCGTCCCATTGGGTTCAGTGTTCCTTGAAGCCGCTTGCCTCAACGGAATGCAGAACTAGTTGTGTTGGTCTTTGCATGTTCGGGCTCAGGCAGGTACGTGGGAAAGAACCTACCTTAATCAATCTCGGTCAAAAGGCAAAGCGGACGGACGGTTGACAAAGAGAATAGGGCGAGGAAGGGGAAGTTCGACACTGGTTGCTCGGTGGAGGAAGCTACGGGCTTGAGTGCCCGCGCTTGTTCCAGATTGTGCCAAAAAGTGTGTGTTCGTAGTGCTTGGTTGTCAGGGATGGCGTGCCTGCGCCGTAGAATCTGTGAGGGCCCCCCCGCCGTCCCTGACAAAACCAGATTCAGATTCTGCCGTCAAGTGCAATTTGCATTGCTTTCGTAAGGGATCGCGAGCCCGCGCAGCGCAGTCAATATGAGGGTACCTCACGCCGCCCCCTCTGTCAAAAACCGATGCGGCATCATCGCGGGGCGCCCGCGCATGAACCAGCTTTTGCCACACAGTGTGCTTTGCACTGTTTGCTGAGAGGGTTGGTGGGCCTGCGCAGAGCGGACATTTTGAGGGCCCCGCCGCCGTCTTGTGTCAGACAACCGGTGCAAAGTGATCGTGGGTCCTGCGTGGGGTCCAGATTCTGCCGCAAAGTGTACTGCGCATCCTGTCTTGACAGGGATGGCATGCCTGCACGGAGCGGGCAGTATGAGGACACCCCCGCCGTCCCGCGCCGAAGACAGCCGCAGAGACCCCAGGGGGGCGCCGACGCACGGTCCGGGTGTTTACGCAGAGGGCCTTTCGCACTGTCTTGTTGGCAGGGGTGGCAAGGGGGGGGGGGGGGCGCATTGTCGGGGGGGCAAGGGGCGCACTGTCTTGGTGGCAGGGGTGGCAAGGGGTGGCAAGGGGGGGGTGGCAAGGGGGCGCATCGTCTGGGGTCTGTCGCTGGTCGGGTGGGGGGGCGTGCACACTGATTGGGAGCAGTGGCAGATCAGTGACCCCCTCCCGTGGGTCTCGTTGCGAGAGTTCGATGCTTGGTCTCGTCGTCGGTTCGGGAGCTTCTCGAGTTGATCATCTGCCTCCCGGCGCGAGGAGTTGGCACGCGTTCGGGCTGCGGCCGAGGACGCTGGTTCCGAGAGGTGCCGGGGGCAAGGAAGTGAGGGTACCCCGACCGTGTAAATCATGCATGTTTTGATCGCATCCTCATACAGGAGGAGGAGGAGGAGGAGGAGGAGGAGGAGGAGGAGGAGGAGGAGGAGGAGGAGGAGGAGGAGGAGGAGGAGGAGGAGGAGGAGGAGGAGAGGAGGAGGAGGAGGAGGGAGGGGAGGGGAGGGGAGGGGAGGGAGGGGAGGGGAGGGGAGGGAGGAGGGGAGGGGAGGGGAGGGGAGGGGAGGGGAGGGAGGAGGAGGAGGAGGAGGAGGAGGAGGAGGAGGAGGAGGAGGAGGAGGAGGAGGAGGAGGAGGACGAGGAGGAGGAGGAGGAGGAGGAGGAGGAACAGCAGTATAGCGAAGAGAAGGTTTTGAGATGATGCATGGAGCGTCCTTGGATTATCGTGTGAAGTTGTTGCATTGCTCGTCTACCAAGCTGCTGGATTGGACGAGGGCTTTCGCGTGACCGGGCGGCCCCGCGTGCGCAACGCAGAGGGATGTTGCTACTGCTTGCCTTCTCACGAGCCCGAGCTGCCCTGCGGGGGCACGGGCCCAGGGCCACCCGCAGCGCTACATCCCGTGTCCTGCGTTTTTGGCCGATGTGCCGCTCAAGCCCGCTCACCGCGGAATCCTTCCGCTTCTGTCGGGGGCCCCCCAAGCGGGCTGGTGACCACACCGTGCTGTGAGTCGGTGGGGATTCGGGGTCATCGCGCCGTTTTGGGACTCGGGTCATTCTCCGACGACGTCTCGGGCGACGGGGGCATCCAAGGTCTCAGGACCGTGCGGTGACGGACCGTGCGGTGATGTCTTGGGGAAGTTCGAGGTCACCGCACGGTCTGTCACCGCACCGTTTCTTGACTCCAAGTTCTAAGCGTTTACCCCTTTTCTCCCCCCCGTTCGGCCGCGCTTTCCTCCCTCTCGTCCTCTTGTGCGCCAGCTTGCCCATCGGTGCCCCCGATCAGTCCGACGCTGGTGCGGATCGCCTCCGTCTCGCCGCCGTCGAAAAAAGTCTTTGGCCGTCTTCGGGGCCGTTTGGAGTCCTCTTGTACAAGCTTCGTTTGTTTAGGGAAGTTGTGCGGGCTCTCTCAGTTCATCGTGGCGTCCTCTTGCGGTTGCCTGGGCGGTCCCCCTCGGGCCGCTGGGGGGGCCTTTATTGGGTCATTTTAGGACCGTCTTTGGAATTTGTTGGGCAAACTTGGGGCCACCTTGAGAGCTCTCGCCTGCCACCTTGGGTCCTCTTGGGACTTCTAGAGCCCAACCCCCCATCTGGAGGGCGGAAGGCAGACGTAGCACATCGGTCGAGCGGCTACGCATCGAGCATCGGTTGCATGATCGCTCGCCCCCGAGGAGGGCGAGGGAAGGAGGGAGGGAGGGGAGGAGGGGGGGCCAGACCGAGGAGGCGGGGAGGAGACAGAAGCGAGCGAGGGAAGAGCAGTGAGAGCAGGGATGGAAAGAGAGGGGAGGGATGAGGAAGGAGGGGACAGATGAGGAGGAAGGCAAGGGATGCAGCAAGCCTCCTCCACCCTTGCGAAGTCATCCTCCCCCCCTGTCCCTCTCCTCCCTCCGTCGTCTGCTCGTTGCGGTGTTCTGCAGCATCTCGCCCGCAATGTCGCGCCCCGGGCCGCCGCGCGTTCACACAGATCTTCTCCCGCTCCTTCTCCTTCCTGCCTGTCCTTTCGCGAGGTGTTCTCTGTTGTCGGGCCACTGCCAGGTGCGAATCCTGTTCCCGGCGAAAAAACACATGTTCTCTTCGGGCCGGGACGCCTGCTTGGAAAGTTGTTGGCATTTTGGCGCATCAAAGCCAGATGATGTTACAGAACAGCAGCGTGGATTCTGTTTCGGTACGTGTGCATGCACAGCGCTGTCGCGAGCAGCAGCCAGACACGCAGGGCGGCTACCATACCAAGAGCAGAGTGAGGGGGCCGATCCGGCTTCGTTTGTCGTGGTGATCGTTATGGGGTGGATTTTCTGCCCTCTACACCCGCGACCCAACAGCCACCCACCCGCGACCCACCCGCGACCCACCCGCGACCTACCCACATTGGTTTAACGAAAAAATCGGCGCCTGCGGCGGGCTCACTGCATAATTTGTGTAACTTGGCGCCTGCGGCGGGCTTCTCCAGAGTCTCTCAAACTGCCGACGTCTCCGCCGCCCCCTCGCTCTCATCCGCATCTGCGCGGTGCTGCGCTATTTTTTATCCAAAATCCGCCTGCAGGAGGACAGGCCCGACCTATGGCAGGGCTGCGGCCGCAGTCGCGCTGCCGAGTCGCGCTGCCCGCGCTGCCCGCCCGCTCGCGCGGCGTCCCCCGCCGCACCTCTCGGGGGAGGCAGCGCCTGGCCGACGAGGAGCGCGCGGCCCTGCAGGAGGCGCTGCGCGAGAAGGAGACGGGACCTGCTCCTCCATCTCCTCCTCCTCCTCCTCCTCCACCTCCACCTCCTGCTCCATCTCCTCCTCCATTTCCTCCTCCTCCTCCCCCATTTCCACCTCCTCCATTTCCTGCTCCTCCTCCTCCTGCTCCTCCTCCTCCTCCTCCTCCTCCTCCTGCTCATCCTCCTCCTCCTCCTCGTCCTCCTCCTCCGATCGGCACCGTTGGGGCCTGGGCGATGGGCCTGTTTTCGATCACCACCACCAGAAGTTGGAGGGGGAGGGGGTCCTCCTCCTGCTCCTCTTCCTCCTGCTCCTCCTCGTCCTCCTCCTCGTCCTCCTCCTCCTCGTCCTCCTCCTCGTCGTCCTTCTCCTCGGGGCCGCATGCCCTGTGGCTTCTTGGCATCGTTCGGGCGTGTGCACTTTTATTTCTTCGAAGAGGGAGCATCGCTGTAGATATAAACTTCTGCCGCTGAGCGCGGAATTCTTGGATCCGCGAAAGTTTATGTTTATGTGTTTTGTGCTTTCTTCGTCTGTTTCTCGGCGAGGGCCATCGAGGAGCTCGCTTGATCATCCCACGGAATTCACATGGGCGCACGGAGTGTGGAACATGTACGACGGGGGGGGGAGGACGGCCGAGCGATGGCTAGGCGGGCGTGAGCTGCCCGCGCGGGCGCAGGGTTGCAGTTGTCGGCACTGCTCATCAGCATCGGTGCCGAGGGTCGCGGCGCGAGCACGACGGGCAGCCGAGCCGGTACGAGGCCTGTCGGTGGTGCCGTGCGTCGTCAGCGCAGCGCCGTGGAGTGGGCCTGGTGCCGCCGAGCTTCCGAGTTGTTCGATGGCCGCGCGAGGCGAGCGTGTCAGCGGCAGTGCCGAAGGACGGCGGGGGGAGAGATGGGGAGGAGGGACGGGAGCGGGCGCGGCCGCAGAGAGTGCCCTGGTGAGGTGGGGGGGAGGGAAACAGGGCTGGGGAGGGAAGAGGACGGGGAGGAAGGGGAAGCGGAGCGAGAAGCGGCTGCGCCTGAAGGTACTGGAAGCCGTGAGGGAATAGGAACATGCGCGGAGCGAGGAGAGAAGAGGCCAGTGCTCCGGGGCGCCAGTGCCAGGGCCGTGCCCAGACCCCCGACGTCATTGATGTCTTCTTAGCGTCCACTGGAGGTCTCCGACCCACTCCCCGGGACCGGTTTCCATCCTGAGTCGATTGTGGACGGTCCCAGGCCCGGTGTGGGCCCCCCCAGGGGCCCAAAGTAGAGAAAAACCTCTCGTCGATCCTGGGCCGTTCTGACGGTCCCGAGGCCAGGTGAGGGGCCCCCAGCCCAAAGTAGCGAAAAACCTCCCGTCGTGATTTTTGTCACAGCTCGAGGAGGTCTGGGTGCTACGCGGCCACCGGCCGAGCCAGCTGGCGGCGTCGCCGCCCGCCGCGGGCCTCGGCCCCCCCCCGGCCTTTGCCCCTCGGCCGGGGAAAGAGTACACGGACACAAGGAAGCGTCGATGCCCAGGAAGACATCGCACAAGATGGAGAGGGGGGAAGGCGAACATCCAGAAACATGGGAACATACAGTCGGGGCCCTGAAGAAGGAACCCTTCTCGTTAGGGAGGGGCTCAGTGTTCCTTAAGTGTTTCACAGCTTGTCTCCGGTGTTTTTGAGGTTTTCCATGGGAAATCGAAGTTGAATTTATGGAAAAATGGGGCCTCGTTCCTTATTTACAGTTCCTTAGGCCAAAGCCCCGACTGTATGGGGAATCTTGGGATTTGTGTGCATTTAGTTGTGTGCCCCTGGCCCCCCCCCCCCCCCACCCCCCCCCCGGGGGCGCGAGGAGCGGGCCGCCGCGGAGCAGCTGGCGCAGCTGCAGGCCGCCGCCGAGGCCGCGGCGGAGGAGCGGCACCGGGCCTTCGAGGAGGAGCGCACGGCGCTGTACGAGAGGCGGCGGCTCCTCCTCCTCCTCTTCCTCCTCCTCTCTGTTCTCTCCTCTCTCCTCCTCCTCCTCCTCCTCCTCCTCCTCCTCCTCCTCCTCCTCAACCTCCTCCTCTTTCTCCTTCTCCTCCTCCTTCTCCTCCTCCTCCTCCTCCTCCTCCGCCTCCCCTCTCCTAATGCTCAGCCTCCTCCTCCTCTCTCCTCCTCACCATGACCTGCCTCCGACGCCGGCGACTATAAAGGGTGTGCTTACGCTGGGGTGTGGTTTGCGATCGGCACCGTTGGGGCCTGGGGCGATGGGCTTGTTTTCCATTACCACCACCATTAGTTGGAGGGGGAGGGGGTCCTCCTCCTCCTCCTCCTCCTCCTCCTCCTCCTCCTCGTCCTCCTCATCCTCCTCCTCATCCTCTCCTCCTCCTCCTCCTCCTCCTCCTCCTCCTCCTCCTCTCTTCCTTCTCCTCCTCCTCCGCCTCCTCCTCCTGCTCCTTTTTTTCCTCGTCCTTCTCCTCGTCCTCATCCTCCTCATCCTCCACCTCCTTCCTCCCTCCAACTTGTGGTGGTGGTGGTGGAAAACAGGCCCACCATGGGGGGCACGCCACTGTCCTCGTCGGGCCTCCTCGGGGCGTGGGAGAACTCTATCGAGGTCCCCGCGCGCCCCAGGGTGCCAGTTGCAAACCGCACCCTTTGCAAATCACACCCTTTGGAGTCGCCGAGAGAGGGAGGAGGGTTACGTCAGGCATGTCCCTCTGAAGGGGGTATGCTCAAAAAGGGTCACAACATAGTCTGGGGACGACGTTTCGATTATTATTGAACTGTTGTTGGATATGTTTGGGCAATTTTACATGTCCTTCCAGAATCCGCCTGTAGGAGGACATGCCCGACCTAAGAGCAGGGTTCCCTCCCTCAGTCGAAGAAGAAAAAGGCCATAACCATACACTTACGGCGCTCCCCTGGATTTCTTGGATCTGCGCTGGGCCGCCCCCGTGGGGGCGCCTTCGGCGCCTCCCCTGGGCGCGCTCCGCGCGCAAGGGAGGGGGGTCCAGCGTAGATCCAAGAAATCCGCGCGGAGCGCCGAAAGTGCGTCTTGGAAGCGACAGGGGACAGGGCGTTTTTTGTTACCGGTTCCGTTGTGCAGTGTTTGTAGCCGGCTCGGTCGCCGTTTTTGATGTTGGTTCCGTCGCCGTTTTCTGACCGGTTCCGGTTCCGGTTCCAATCTCGGAGCCGTTTGTTCCCTTCTTCATGTCGCAATTTGTATGATTTCCATTTTCAAGAGAGATTTGTTCGAAAACGGTAAAAAAATGGCCCTGACGATTTTGGAGCCCAGTCAGTCCTTCCCCCCCATTCTTCCGAACCTTCAGCCCACATGTTTCGCTTCTTTTTCGATGTGAGCGATGTGGGCTTCCTTGAACTAGTTTCGATGAATTCTTCCGCACCCCTTTCTCGGAGGTCGGAAGGTATGGAAGGTGGAGGTGGAGGGTTGGGCGTCGCTTAAGTGGGGGGCGATAGAAGGGGGGGGGGGCGAAAAAGGTACACTTCTCGGGCCCTAGAGGCCTCCTTTTGGGCCCGAGAGGGCCCCTCGAGGGGCCCTGAAGGGCACCCTCTCTGCAGCCAACGCTGCCAACCCCCCATTTATCGAGGCCAAGTCATGATGGAGCATGCATTCTGCACGCCGCATATTCATTCTCATCATCGATTTCCTTTACCTTCTTCCTCTTCCTCCAGCATCGTGACACATATTAGAGTAGCTTGGCGGTTATCTTGACAGTCTGAGGGTACCCTGGAGGACGGTCACTGGACAGGAAAAGCATGGCCCCACGAGCATGTCCATGTATTTCCAGCCCATTGCCAACGGGCGTGGGCTTTGGATTCCGTACCACGGTTTCCTTCGTGTAAGGGTAATTTAATAATGATGCCGCCAGTCCAGCAACCACCCGTTAGAAGGAATGCTGCGTATCACAGGGTTTTTGGTAAGGGCCCCAGTCAGCTTGGAAACCCGTATTGTGGAGGCATTTCGGAGTCACGTATTTGGGATCGAAGGCGACGAGCGACGGCAACGAGCGACAGCGACGAGCGAAGGCGACGTCAGGGGCCAAGAAGGCAGGCGTCTGGGCACCGGCACGCCTCCCCCTGACCTCAATCCCCCTCATCCTCTTCCTGCTCCTGCTCCTCCCCCTCCTCCAGGGGACTAGTGCATTGTGACTTCTGGATTGTCTAAGGGGGGCACACACACAGGCACACGCAAAGACACACACGAAACCACCACCACCGCCACGACCACCGCCGCGACCAGCACCACCACCACCATCCTCCGCAATCGAAAGAGGTCTGCACGTGCCGCGTGTATGTTTTTGTGTTTGCGTTTGGGGGAGGGGGGGGGGCGAGGAACAACCCCACGCACGGCTTGCATTATCGTTCTCTGTTGGCGGGGAAGACGCCACACACATACACACGCACGCACGCACGCACACACACACACACATGTACACACGCACACACGCATACACACACGCACACACACAAACACACAAACACACACACAACACGGAACCACCGCCGCCACCACCCCTCCCAACAAAACGACAAGAAGGATCAATCTGCACGTCCGCCACGTGTTTCTGTCCTGGGCAGAGGAGGAGCCATCCCCCCCGCACACACACACACATACACACACAGATACACATTCACGAACAGAACACGGATAGAAGACACACCTACGCACCACCCACACACACACACACACGAACAGAAAACATAGATGACAACACCGCAAAGAAGCGTGGAGAAAGGGTCCAGCACACCGCATGTTGCACAATAGCTTGTCCTCCACATATCGCCCCACCATTTATCGGCGCAGCCCAGGTGGGGTGAGGGGGAAGGATAGGGGCGAGAGGGAGGGGATGGAAATGGTGAGGTGGGAGACGAGGGGGATGGAAGGGAGCAGCAAGAAAGCCTCGGCAGCAGTGCCTGAGTCCAGCCTGTCATTTGCTTCTTATCCCCGTCCAACGGCATTACGTTTTGGCGCTCACCCCCACGTTCTAACATCTTCTCCCGCTCCCACTCCCGCAGACATCCGCGCGTCACTGCCGTGGACGAAGTGCCACCACAAGTTACTGGAGCGTCTTTCGCGAACATAAGTTCTGATGAGATTGTCAGCGGGATCTGGGCGATATATTCGTGACCATGGGTCGGCTGCCTTCCTCGCAGAAGCGGAGCCATCACACTGACGGGGCGTCTTCTCTGGTCCCTCTGTCTTTCTCACTTGGCGTGTGTGTCTCCGTCCGTCCCGTTCGCCCCCCCCCATCCCCCCTTTCTGTCCACGACCATGAACAGCATCGGTTTCTTCATTGTAGGTCCAGTGGAGACACATGCCAAGAAATACCCTGCTTGCCTCTGGGGGTTCGATGGTCTTGCGATGGACAGCGTGACTTTCCCACACCATCAAAAAATGGCCGTCCTTGGGTCTCAGGGTTGGGTTTCTTCTGGAAGGTTTCTTGTGGTCTGGCCTCCACTGTGGTACCACCGGACTTCAGCATGTGGAAGCAGAGTTCAATCCATTACGGCCCACTGTCTTGGTGAGATAACGCCCACAGGTGGGCGTTTGGGACGGGAAGGTAAAGATCATCGGCGGTTGCATGGCGCGGGGTTGCTCGTGGATGTTCGGGATGAACTTGACGAAAGAAAGTTCGTCTGGCCGAGATTGGTGCAGGTCCTTCCCCGTGGCTCGGCCGTCACGATGCTGGCGCTCTCTGCGCACCGAGAGAGTGCATTATACTTCGGTCGGGCATGCCCCGCCTACAGGCGGATTTTGGGCGAACAATCAAAGCGAATCACAACAGATTCAAACATAGTCAAACAATTCAAAAAATAGTCCCCAGACGATTTGTTTCACTATTTTTGAACATTCCTCCTGTAGAGGGACAGGAGCGACTTAACATTAGACCTTGACGGCTGGGACAGACGGCTGGGCTGTATACGGAGCAGGGGGGCGTCTCGCCAGAGGACCGACAAGTCCGCGCGTGCGGTCGTGCACGGTTGCCTGGACGAGACGTACAGATCGTTGCGGGACTCGAGCTATTCGGGTTGGCAAAGCATGGTGGTCAGTTTCGCCGGCGATTCGAGGGTTACTTGATTCCGTCTATGGCCGAGCGGCTCAGCGTCGTTCGGGCCGACAAGTTGCTGTCACGAGAGTCGAAACAGAATCGAGCCGACGTCGACAGCACAAGCAGTCCTCGAATGACGAGATGTTGAGGGCCAGTTGTTCTGCTGAAGTGGGGATTATGGTGCCGAAGGCCAAGGCACAGTTCGCAGAGGAGTTGTATTCCAACGCTGCTGTGCTCTTCCAGGTGGCGCAGGAGCGAATCGAGACCGATATTCTGCCCTCGGTTGGCACCACCTCCGTTGAAATGGTTATGACGTGCGCGTCGATTCCTTCTTTCGAGCGGGTCCACGGTGTGGAGCAGGACGCGCGTACGGCGTTCACCGAGCTCGAGGGGATCCGCATGGAGCGTCGCGCGCGGTGAAGGCGGCGATCTATATGGATAGAGCAGCACCATGAAGCATGTGCAAGAGTTTCGAAAGTGACGCGTGTTTGTCACCACCTGACTTTGGGCGTTCGACGATTTGTGATTGCATGCCGCGAGTGGGAAGGCTCGTATCCTTACACACCGCGCACTAGTTTTGTTCTTCATGGTCGTGGTGGGCGCGTGTTGTGCACCGACGCAACATTGCACGGGCCTCTGCATTTATTCGCGGCGATGCACGTTGCAACAGTTGCGAGTTCCAATACGTTGCGAATGAATGGTAGTCTAGGTTGTAGATTGCAAATTATTACGAACGTTGGCAGCCGCAACGAGGTATCCTTCAACATTGTTTGCTTCGGTGACGACGGCAGGCTTGGGAGACATTGTCAGCGCAGATAAGCTTGCCTCTTCCTCAAGCGGGGCGTAGTACAATATTCGCAGTACATCGTGCCCTTCACGGACAGGATATGTGGCGGCGTTGGTGGTTCAGAGGCTTGGCAGTCCCCAAAACGGCCACCCTACAACTTGGCACCTGCGCTTCGTGGACCCGTCCATCTCACCTTCCGCCATGTCTTGTCCTCCTCGTCTCCCGCCCTCCTCCCCCTCTCCTCCGTTCCACCGCCCCTCCTCCCCTCCCGGGCCAAGACGGCGACTGGAGCGGGCCCGCAGCAACGGCATGGGGCGAGGCGAACCCTTCCACGACACTCTCTCGTCGCCGCATGGCAGAGGCAGTCCGCACGGGCGCTCGCATTCGTCGGGGATGCTCGGCAAACGAATTTCGGGAGGGGATCAACACGCAGACACGACGAATCGTCGATACCCCAGAAGATATGGGGGAAGTGGGGGGAAGGACATCAAGAAATATTGAAACATAGGGTGAATCTGAGTATCTGTGTGTATTTATTTGTGTGTCCACCGACCCCTTTTCAGCGGAGCGAGCGGAGGAGGGAGGAGGGCGCTCACTGGTACAGAAAAAGTGTACGGCGAGCGCGCCGACCCGTCCACAGCACACAGAGGCACTCTCGCGACCTCCTGGGGTCAAGGAATGCCTCCAGAGGACCTGAGGAGGCCCATGGTCGGAGGCCTAGAGGTTGACACCAACACCAATCTCGGCGGTGTGCCTCCGACGAGGGAAGAAGATCCCGATCTCGGTGATGGTGGTAATATCCTGGCTTCAAGGTGACTGAAATATTACCACCAACACCGAAATCTAGGAGCATCTTCCCCCTGTGGAGGCAGCCCCCTGTGTTGGTGTTGGTGCCCATTTCCGGGCCTCCAAAAAGGGTCGACCCAAACAGTGCTCTGGCGATTTCGGGGGCCGTTCTCGTGCGGATTGCGTTCTGAGCAGCAAAGGCGGGCTGGAGACAAAACAAGGAGGGAGAGCGACAAGGAAACGAAAGCGACCAACACTGCTCGGGCCGACCCCTGACACGCAGGAGCACCTCCCGCGACCCTGGACGGGTCAAGGAGTGCCTCCCGTGGAGGCCGGTATTCAATCCGGGTCCTTTCCCTCTCTCCGTCGCCCTCCCCCTTCCCTCCCATACAGTGAGCGGCTTGAATAAGGAACACTTACTTTTCACCTTAGGCTTACATGCGTTATTTACAGTTCCTTATGCGTTATTTATTATTTATCGTTCATTGTGCGTCATTCCTTGGGTTAAAAAGGGGCTTCGTTCCTTATTTATCGTTCCTTAGGTCAGGCCGATGACTGTACTCCCCCAGTCGCCCCTCCTCTCGGCCATCGGCCGCTCCTCCGCCCCATCCTCCTGCTCTCCTCCCGCCCCGCGTTCTCATGATTCAGGGGAGGACGAGGTGCCCAATGCGCTACCCCTCCCTCGTTTTCCTCTTTTTGGGCCTCGTTGGAGGCCCTCGTCGCCACCGCTGGATTCGAGTCAAAATTCTGGTCACAACACACCCCGGGGGAGGTCCGGGGAGCAGCGGTATCAGTACCTTTGGTTCCCTGAGTGATCCCCCATCGCTTTTGCTCCGTGTTGCCTCCCTCTCTCCCTCTCCCTGCCTCCACCATCTCCAGCCCCTCCGTTGCCCACTTATTCTTTGCCCCGGTTGGCCTTTCCTCTGTATGAACACGTCTCCCCCCTCTCACCAGGTGCTGTCATTATTTGCCCCCGCCTATCCCGTAACTTGTTTTTCACACATTGGAGCGTTTAAGCGTCTTTGTTCTATCCGGCTTTCCCATCCGGACGTTTCCAGTGCTTCTGAAGGTTTGTTCTGGCTGCAGCGTTGGCCATGATGTGCAATCATATTCACATTTTGTCAGTCCAGCAGAACGTCGCTCTCGCCGCATCGCTGGCCGTATTCTCGCATCAGCAAAAGTGGCGTTACCAAGGAAACGTTTGCCGGGCTTCAAGATACCCATTGAGTTTCCATCCAACGAAACGCGACGCGTTCGCGGCTGCACTGGCCGCACCCCCCGCAGCAGCGGCGATGCAACTCCCAGCGTTCGCCGCATTCCCACGGAATGACCTCACGGAACAGCGTTCGACGCATTATTGCATCAGAATGTGGTTTATCGTGCTGGTCTGCGCAATTGTAGGTTACGTGAAATGGTGTTCTGGGGCCCTCTTGGAGCAAGTTACCTGTTCGGGATCTGTGTCTTCGACTCTGCGAATAGAGGGTCTCAGTTCCCTGGTAAGGAACGGGAGGGAGGGCATGATGTCAGATGTAAGACGAGAGGGCACACGTCTTGCCTCTCCCGCCTCCCACGACCATATTCCCCCATCCACTCCTCCCCCATCATCTTCCCCGCCCTCCCCCTCCTTCCTCCCTCCTCCTCCCTCCCTCCTCCTCCCGGCCTCGGAGGCTCCCGTGCGGGATCAGGACCCCTCGAGGGGGCCCCCGTGGCAGCCAGAACAGGTGCGTCGGCCAGCAAGGCCGGCGCCTTCGACGACAGGCCAGGCTGTTCGCGCCAATTCGAGGCGCGTTGGTCTGTGGAGGGAGAAGGAGGAAGAGGAGGAGGAGGAGGAGGAGGAGGAGGATTTGGAGGAGGAGGATTTGGAGGAGGAGGAGGCGGAGGAGGAGGAGGAGGCGGAGGAGGAGAGGGAGGAGGACGAGGAGGAGGAGGAGGAGGAGGAGGAGAAGGAGAAGGAGGAGGAGGAGGAGAAGGAGGAGGAGGAGAAGGAGGAAGCGGAGTAGGAGGAGGGGGAACCAGGCAAAGCAGCACGCAGGGGTGGCAGGGCGGCAGCAGTCGGATTCGGGATGCGGCGGTGGACGTCCCCCTCCGCCCCTCCGCCCCTCCGCCCCCAACCTGCACACCTGGCCCCCCCGTGCCCCTCGAGTAGGGCTCTGTGGCAAATCATGGGAGCCTGGTGAACCTCTCAAGTCCGTCCCTGGCGTCGACTAGCATCGATTAGCTTTTGGAGCCGATGAGATAGCACCGATCTGGAGTCGGCGAGCCTCCATTGGCGTCGATCTGGCGTCGATCCAGCGTCGGTTCGCAGGAGCCGACAATCTGGTCTGGGAGGCTGCCATGAGTTGCCACCGAGGTAGGGGATCGAATGCAGAATTGGGCCATCCCAGACGTACCCTGTCGTCGAGTCTGCGACGAGCACGCTGCATCTCCAGAGATTCGACCACAGCCATGCTGCGCATATCCCGCAGAGCCGAGGGGAACAAGCCAATCCTGGGGCGCATCGGTGCTGCAGTCCATCCCCTGCTCGAGCACCCCCCCGTTCCTTCCGCCCTCCCCGCGCGAGCTGCAGCCGCAACCGCAGCGCGCCGACGGCGTCCTCCCCGCTCGCGTGCGCGTCGGGCACGGCATCGTGCTTCTTCTTCCGCTTTCGCCCTCCCACGTCTCAGCGAGCGAAGAACGGTATCAAATAAACTTTTTCGCTGTCGGGGGCGCCTGTCCCTGGGCAGCTGGAAAGTTTATACCCTTACGGTGGCGCCGTAGGGGTTTCCGCTTTCGCCCTCCCACGTCCCCTGTTCACCCGCCCCCCGCTGGCCCGGCTCGGTGTCGGCCGTCGGTCCGGCCAAGGCTGCGCGAGAGGGACAGGGCCGCGGAGGAGCAGCTGGCGAAGCTGCGCTCCGCTGCCGATCTGGAGTCACAGGACTTCGAGAAGGAGGAGGAGGGGGGGGACGAGGACGAGGTTGGGGAGGAGGGGATGAGGATTACAGTCAACCCGCATAGTAAGGATGGGCAACCTTCCCAAGGGTACCCTTGTATCCTTGCCTCCTCGGTCCACCCTTGGCCGCCTTCGTCGGCCGCGCCCCGCTCGAAAAGCTTCGACATGGGCGTCCAAGGCCCTTGCATCCTTATCGCGCATCCTTATGATACGGGCCGGCTGTAGGATGGCAGGGAGGAAGGGGAATCCGGTTGAGATAACAATTGGTGTGCCATGCGACCTTGCAGCATGCCGATTTTGGCAGTGCAGTGCTGCGGCATGCCGCGCAGTGATGTCCAGGTGCGTGCGGCAAACCCCACCACCGTGCCGGCGCAGCAGCGTAGCGTGAAGGAGGTTGAGTCGAAGAACTCGAGTGGGTATCAAGCTCGGCCTCGTTCCCTCGACTCTTGAGTGCCTGTGAGGACCGTCTGGCAATTCCGTAGGCCGTATTGAGGGCCTTTCTGGACCGTCTTGGGATTACTTTGGGGTGTGTTCGTTCCTCGTTAAGATCTCGTGGGCCGTCTTTGGGCCTTCTTGGCCGTCTTGGAGGCTTTTGCTGCCGTCTACGTACGCGAAAGTCAGCGAACAAACAAAGAGATATTCAATGTTCTTTGCTCGTTCGGGCCCTCTTCGAGGGCCTCTTGGAAGTCTTGGGCTACATCAGGGGCCTCCTGGGTCGTCTTTGCGCTCTCTTGGCCCGTCTGACGCACTCGGAGGCCGGCTGGGGAGCCGATGGCGCAAACTGTACGGCAGGCGCCGCCAACCCTGAAGGCCAGAACTCCTTTTGGGCCCCCAGTGGCGACCCTCCCCGGGACCCGCAGGAACCCTCCCGGGGGGGCGGCATTCTGATCAGGGACCACCTTGCCCAGGACCCCGTCCAGGGTCCCTCCTCCCGCCCAGCAGGGAAGGGGTAAAGGGAATGGGCTTCCCTTTCGACTTCACTGCGGCGCTCTTTTTCCTCATCCCGCGGGGCCCTGGAGCGGACATTCTCCCTGTTCGTAATTGGACGACCGAAACAGTAGTACCCTTCGTCAAACGCGCACAATGCCGAGGTAGGTTTTTTTCTTATGGGAAGAGGCATCCCCCCTAAGGGCCATAGTGCTGATATTCTCTCTGAAGAAGAATTCACGACTACGCGTGTTGCTTGTGCTTAGAAGTGGACGACCGACAAGTGCATGTTGGGGAAAACCTGTCACACATGCTGAGGCATTGGCTCTTATGGGAAAACGATGTCAGGGAGGCTGGGCGCGGATGCTATTTCCGGCAGCGATTCTACGGCCAAGCGCTTTGCTGATAGATAGGCTATCGCCTTGTGCGGAACAGTTCGAAATACGAATCCCACGGCTTTCGCCTGAGAAACCGAAAGCACACCATATAACGTAATGTCAGGTGCCCCTTGCGCGGGTAGTTTGGCATCGAGACGGCACGCGTGTTTTTGCTTCTTGGTGGGCATTGGCAAATCCCGCCCCGATCTTGTTGGGGCCCTGGGGAGGCCCCAGGGGCCAACCCCCAACCTGAGCGTTGATTATCGTTCGGATCTGAACAAATCCTCTTCCTCCTCCTTCTCCTTCTCCTCCTCCTCCTCCTCCTCATCCTCTTCCTACCCACTTTATCCTCCTCCTCCTTTGCCTCCTCCCCTTCCTCCCCTGCTCCTCGTGCCCCTCCATATTTCATGGGCCCACCGCAGGCCCAAGGTCTTTTCTTGGGCCCTTTCCGTTTGATGGTCCTTGGGCCCTTTCACCTCGCCTGAGGGTCCAGTAGGCCATTTGTCGGCTTCCTGGTGGCTCTTTGTGGGCAACGTTTCGTGTGAGGGGATGAAGGTTACCACATGCGCGCACTCGGGTTTCGGTTAGTGTTCGTGTTCCGTATCCATTTGGGTTCAACGGTGATATTGTGATGTTTTCCAAATACATACATGTACGCTTGGATTGTTGCGCGGAGACATGACAGACTCAGCGATGGCAGGAACCATGTGCCGCTAGCATGCGTTTGGTCAAATAAAGTGTGTGAGCAAATCTCTCGGGAATGTGGGCTTCCTTTTCTCCAGCGCCCGGGAGCTGGCTGTGCATTTCCGTTCGCGACACATGCACGCGGTTGGCCTAGCAATATTCCAGACAAAGTGCGTCCCAGACATATCCACGTTTTTATTTTCATCCGAGCGGCCAGTGCTTGATTATTGGGCCCAGACAAAATACAGAGATGATCCAATACTTATGGTTCGTGTGGAAGACGCGGTAGAGTTGTCAGAACCAGTACACATGTACACCACGGACGGGACAGATGCAGTCAAATCGTTGTTCACTCTGGTATCTGATGCGACGTATCGACGGTGTATGCGTGCTGGTGTCAATCATGGCGTGCCGCTTGGAGATGTCATTGGCGAGTGGGAGCGCAGGCATGGAGTTATATGCCCTAAAGACGATCAAGGTTCACCCAACGTGCAGACAGGAGCTGTGATGGCAATGCCCCACGCGATTCTTTGTTCTCGCAGAATATGGACTGCATGGGGTTTCCCCGTGGGTTCCGATTTCAGGAGATCGCGTTGACTTCGAATGTCTCTAGTTCGGCCGTTGTGGCGCAACCTCGGACAAGTGGAGCTTCAGAGAGGAGTCACCGAGGTGCCATGTGAGGATGGCCGTGTTCTTGACATCGACGAGCTTCAAGGCGCCGCTGATGTGCTCCTGAAGTGCGTTAGCCAGATGGCTCGCAATCGTGCTTTCACTGATGAAGCCATTCATCATGCCACGTGGCTTCAAAATATGAGGAACCACATGTTGGTGCAACAATTGAGGTTGACACGCCAAGCTTACAGCATGGAAATGCTTGTTCATGCAGTCATCGGTTCTGGCTTACTGCGAGATGTGAACTCATTCAAGGACTGAGGATTCCCATGACACCCGCCTCGACTGCCGCACACCTTCTCCATCCCCTGACTTGTTTTGATTTGGATCTGCCAGGCATATCTGCAGATCCACAGAGCAAAACAACTCAGGTGGGAGAGGGTGGATGGCAACATCAGTGAATGGTGCCATGGAAATCCCAAATAGGAGGTAACCGGGCATTGCCTCTACGTGGTAGTCGCAGACATTAACCTTCGAGATTATCTCATTGGCCTCCTGCGGGATAACCGTTTTATTCCGACACGGACTACATTGTACCGACATAGGATGACTCTGCACTTGGGCTACTGCGCGCATCGCCAGGCACTGAACGGCCAACTCGTGAGCGACGGAGTGGCGCTTGTTACTTGGAGGACGCTGGATCTCTCACCTCAAGCTGGAATTGAATGGCTTCTTCACGGCGGCTCTCAAATGCGGCAACGTGATCTTCCACGGGCCTTGGACATTTCGATGTCGCTGGTCTCGTCGGAGCGCCCGGAGAAGGAGGCAGACCTCTTCGACGAACTACGGGGCCTTCTGGGCATGGAGTCGGGATGCCCTGTAGGAGTGGGAAGCGGTAGAAAATCTTTGAAGTACAACGGCCATGCTTTGATTCACGCAGTGAAGCTTCAGTCGCCCACTTGGAAGGCGGCGTGTCAGATGTTGAATTCAATTGTAAGTGTGACAGGATATCTCGGAGAAGCATCTACGTTTCACTACCGCGCTGACGTTCGGGACAACTTTGGTCAGTGGATTACTGCAGAGGACAATCGCATTATCAATGGCGCTGTTGGTGGTCAATCAGATTTTGACTGCGACGCAGAGGTTCAAGGCTTCGACTTCGGAGAGGGCGATGATATCCAGGACGACGCAGCAAATCGACCTGACCGCGAAGAGTGCGACTACCCAGGGGAGGATGCGTACACCGTGGACCTGTCGAAGTGCGTGCACATTCCTGGCCCGCACCACATCTTGCACAATCTGACGAAGGGGCTGCCTGAGGTTCTGAGCTGGTGGGGTCAATATGTCTTGTATTTGAAGAATGTGTGCAAGATGTTGAGCATGCGTTTTTCTAAAGCGAGGCTCCTGAATTCACGCTTCGCGAATGGCGCCGCTTCGGTATTATATCCGAACATCGCTTCTTTTAACGCCACTGTGTACACGGGCCGCTGGGGCACAGTGCACAATGCGACTCACCAGCTCGCAGATCCGCACATCATGGGCGCCCTGCGCACGGGTTGGGATCGAGCGCGCTATGTGGCAGGCCAAGGCGTTGCAAGGGATGATGAGAATGTGCCCGACGAGAAGATGGCTAGGGAGAGGGGACATACACGACGCCACGGGGCTTCCATAGGCCCAGTGTGAGGCCAGACCCTAGTGGATGCGGTCTCTTGGCATGGCCCGAAATCCATCTCCACTAGGATATTGCCCAACATGGGCCTGTGGAAACCCGGCGATGGCGCGCGCTTTCCCTCTCCCTGAAGGGAGCCAACGTGGACCTGGTGGACCAAGCAGTCAAATTGAAACGGTTCTGGGGATACGCCATCATGGTAGATGCGGTTGCAACGCTATTCCTCTACATGGCGGGATGGATCGACAATTGCCCGTGCCGCGACACCATCCCGGGCGAAACCAGCTTCACCAATCAAGAGAGGAAGAGTTATTGGGCTCGCAGTGTGGGCAAGCCATGCCCGATGATTTGTCGCAGGGCTCCTGAGCTGGCAGCTGGCAAATTCACTGAGTTTATCAATTTGCTCTTGCGGGTTTCGCTGAATGGTTTATTATTCGAGCTGGCTGCGATGAGTTTAGACGGCGAGGATCGCGCGCAGGTGTTGAGGGACTACGATGCTACTCGGCGGTATGTATACTTTGTCTGCACTCTCAAGTTCGGGTGCTGGCAGCAATTACCTTGGGTGCTGATGGGCATTGCAAGCAGCAGTGTTGGTGTCGGCCGTGAGTGCGCCAGGAAATCCTTGAGATTGTGGACTCATCGACGTCGCGACCATGGATATCGGGCGCACTTTCTCGAGACTGTTCTCTGCGACCCTGCTTCCAGAGGTTGTGACG